TCTCATTTGCAAAAGTTTGGCTTCTAGCAACCCAGTTTGAAATACGTCAGCTGAATCTCTCAGCTGCTCGGAAAATATTGGGAAATGCTATTGGTGTTGCTCCAAAAGATAAGGTAATATTTAGATGGAAGCAAATATAATCATATATTTTAATTAGAATTTATCATTTGTCATTTTTTTACAGTTTTGTTGGTTTGACAACAGATTTTTAAGAAGTATATAGAGATAGAACTGCAGCTCGGTAATATAGATCGGTGTAGAAAATTGTACGAGAAGTATCTGGAATGGTCACCGGAAAACTGCTATGCTTGGAGCAAGTATGCAGAATTAGAAAGATCCTTATGTGAGACTGATAGGGCTAGAGCAATCTTTGAGCTTGCGATTGCCCAACCAGCGTTGGATATGCCTGAGCTATTATGGAAGGTATATATTAATATATTTCTCCCGAGTCAATGTCAGGTGTTGCATTTAAATATTTAATCATTTCATTGTAGATCTTGGTTAATTATTTTTCTCATTAACTCATTCTTCTACATCTAAATCAGAGCAAAGGTTGGCAACATGGCAACTTTATGTTGTAACTAATGCTTCACTCGAATATTTTCTGCTAAATTTTTTTGCTTGCGCACTGATTCACCACTTCATCACTGACCTGTGGTTAACCTTTCATGGTTTTAGGTTTCCCCCCCATTTCTCTTTCCAATATCTTTTTCTATTCCTCTCTCTATGTTGGTCATTCTTTTTAGCGGCCATCATATAACTAGATATTTTTGCATGCAAAACAGGCGTACATTGACTTTGAGATTGCTGAGGGTGAATTCGAGAGAACTAGAGCACTTTATGAAAGACTTCTTGATCGAACAAAGCATTTAAAGGTATGGATAAGCTATGCAAAGTTTGAGGCATCGGCTATGGGTGAGGATGGCCAGATTCCTGACTTGGCAGATGATGATGTCCAATCTTATAAACGTGAGCAAAAGAAGCAATGCATTCAGCATGTTAGAAGTATGTGATCCCACTCACCTCATGAAGTTGTGTTTGAACTCCTTTTTTGGGATGAAACCAATATATTTTAATTCTGTCTAATCTCCTTTTGTTTTGCATCTGATTTAGGAGTGTTTGAGAAAGCTCTCACCTACTTCAGATCATCAGCCCCAGAATTGAAAGAAGAAAGGGCGATGCTATTAGACGAGTGGCTCAATATGGAAGGTTCTTTTGGTGAGCTAGGTGACGTTAGCCTAGTCCAGTCTAAATTGCCCAAGAAGCTGAAGAAGAGAAGGCCAATAGTAACTGAGGATGGTCCTGCTGGGTATGTAACTAAACCTCTTCTTTTATTTGTAAGAGATTAGCTAGCGTTGGGTATTAAGCCATGTTGTGGTAGATGCCCATATCAGTTATAACTGTTGCAACTAGCGCTTTGTGAGGGTATTTGGTTTGTTAATATCTAGCTGGTGAATTGAGTTTGATGGGTGGAGCACCCAGCAGAGCACACTGATCGGATTCATGATTTAAAAAGTGTGAAGCTCCTGATCTTTGAGTATGTTAATGTTTCCAATTGTTTGTGCGACACTGTTTAGTGGTATCCCAATGGATAACAAAAATTAGCTGGCAAAGTCCACTACTTTTATTTTTGTTTTGTTTTTTTTGTTTTTTTTTGTTTTGGAAAAGTTCACTGATTGTAAAATGCTGTTGATTTTTTTAAAGTTTGTTCTCGGTTGTTCAGGCTTTTATTTATTCTTCTAATTCATTTTGTTGAACAAATTTTATTTGGCAGTTTCGAAGAATACATCGACTACATTTTCCCGGATGAAGCCCAGACTACGAATCTCAAGATATTGGAAGCTGCCTACAAATGGAAGAAGCAGAAATTGTCTTCTGGTGATGAATAAAAACGTGTTTGCAAAGTGTAGCGACCCGCGTAGCAACGGATGTTATTGTTTGAGGATTCAATTGCAAAAAAAACAAACTATAGGGACAAACTTGACAATGAGTGTAAAATGTAGGGACCAAACATCGATTTTCCCAAGCTGAATGAAACTAGCAGTTAAGACTTAAGAGTCACAAATATGCCATGTTTTGTTTGTAGTTGTAAGAGAAATAATAGTGGCGTGTGGTCATGTTTTTTTTTTTTTGGGCCGAAGTGGGCATTTTGGTATGAGAAGAAACAAATATTAATAGACTTAATAGATAGAATTATTCAGTTGAAAAACTAGCAATGCAATTTACGTTGAAAAATATATTGCTCGTTCCGGTGCTAAATGTGGGAGTTGCTTAACTAATTTGCATTGATTAAGAAAGTTAGTCAAATTAGTTAATTGTAAACAAAATGAGTCCCGATTCCCCAAAATTTAGGGTTGCGTTTGAATTTTTACTGTATTTTATTATTGTTGAGAGAATATCAATCGGTAAAGCTTAGAAAAAATAATGAATGAGAGAAAATAAATCAAGATCTTTATTCAGCTTGATAATAAAACAAACTATAGGGGCTAACTTGCATTTTAGGGGGGTTATTTTTTGTTGAATTTGATAATACTCGAATCTAATTTGACTTGATAGTCGCATAAAAAAAAGTGTAATGTGCAAATGTGAGTGAAGAGTCTTCTCCAACTCCAAGAAATGTAAATATACATATATTGTGAGCTTCACTAGCTCTCTTCATCAACCCATTATTTATTAGAAATTCATATTTTTTTAGTACAAAATGTAATGGCAGATTTGGCCATATTTGTGATGGCATTTGTTTCTTTGTTGTTTTCTCTCTCTTCTCAAATAGTTCATTGATATTAGAGGAAGGACTCAAAATCATCTTTTGTGAAAAACCAAGTAGATGTGTTACAGATGATAGCAATCTGAGCCCCTTAAACATCATTTTAAGGTTTGATTCTTAGAAGTATGTATTAAAAAATATTATTTAAAAGATGACAACTTTTTATATAATATTTAGATTCTTTAGGGAATTACTCTCACCATTGTTGATTGTGGGGTTACATTGGACAGTCAAAAAAAAAAAAAAAAAAAAAGAAAAAATCTTCTGTGAAGATGATGAACAAGTGTGATCGGTTTCATGAACTCGGCCCATGATGATGGTGGGCTTCTATATGGGCTTAAACAACGGAAACATTGTGATGCCCAAAATAACCAGAATGGGTTGCAACTAAAAAGATAGCTAGCATTTCCCAACCCCAAAAGAAAAAAAAAAAAGATTGTATTAAATTAATATACAGTGTGTGTATGCTTTTTTGTTTTGTTTTGTTTTTTGGGGGGGTGTTTTGCGGGTGGGGGTTGAGAGAGAGAGAGTGTTAGTTTAGCCTAATGTTGCTTGCCCACCTAATCTTAATCGACTTGTCACCTGAAATGATAAATTGGACTACTTATAAGAAAATTACATATGGTCCTGTCAAAGAAAACGAACTCCAAAAATGCAAGAGCAGGATTGATCCAGTAATTAACCTGATAGAAAATTTAAAAAATAAATACTAAAATATTGACAATAGAAATACTCTTTCTAGCTCTTTTTTATAACGCCATACTAACTATTTTTATGAGAACATTTACAACTTTTTCAAAATTATTCTTCAACTGATATAGTTCACAGAAATGATGAGAAATTTAAATTCGATGAGTGATCTCAATCCACTCACTCTCAATGAATGGTTTAAGTATAATAATTGAATTTTATAAACACTCAGGATCATAACTATTTTTTTTAGAATACAGATTCAATCAGATTAGGTATGAAAAAAAAATCATTATCGAAGTTAAAAGTAATAGGCAATAACATCTTTTTAGAATGAGTGATATTTTCTTATCATTAATTTTTTTTAAAAAATATCAGAGTTGGTAATTTTTTTTGGGGGGGGGGGGGGGAAGACATAATGGAGGTGAGACTCCTATATATATTGACACATGAGTCTCACCCATATGAACTTCATTCACCATCTTGAGAGGTTTAGCCTCTTTTTCTGTGTATCTCGTTCTTCATCATTTTCTTAATTCTCTCTCATAATTTGTCTTCGCAACATTTATTCCCTTCTTCCTTCACCGTTTAGAAAGCTACCATTTACTATACATAATACCCCTTTCACTCATTTATAGCATCAATTTTTTTTTTTTGGCAAAATCTATAGCATTAACTTCACCAATATATAGCATCCGAAACACAAATAGAAAAAAATATATATTCCTTTCAATGCTGGTCTTCGTTACTTCCTCCAAGCCACAATATAAGTGATAACTAATTAATTTATGATTTATAAATAATGTTAATTAAAATATTAAATCTTTAAAAATGTTCACATCTTTATATTTATATCCTCATTAAATACCCTAATAGTAAAAGTATAGTTGAAAAAATAAATATAAAAGTTATCAAATACCTTATATTTTGGATCAGTCAAGGTTTTTAAAAGATGCCATATATTGTGGTTCGAAGGAAGCATAAAATAATCTCACCATAATTAAAAAGATGTGTTAAGTTATTAACTTTTCTAAAAATGAAATAAATTTTTTATTTTATCTATATTTAAATGAGAATTTTTTGAATTTGCGTTATGTCCTCTCTCATATTTAATGACTTTAAATAAGAGCAATATTAAAAAAAAAACATAATACCCAATATAATATTTATCTTTTTTAGAAAGTAGCTTATAGTAAAGACCAAATCTGGAAGAATAAGATGCTTTTTTTTTTTTTTAAAAAAAGCTAAGGTTCCAATTTATAAGATATTGTGTCAAAATATTAAATAATTTTCCCTTTTCACCCTTAGAATTTTAATAATTTATGTGACTAATTAAACCAAAGTTTTATTTTCTCTTTCACGAAGAAGGGAATTAAGATGAAGCGATGTCTACAATTGGAATACTCAATTTTTTTGGACAAATAAATCTATTAACAATTTTTTAAAGTTTTCATGAAAATATTCGAAACATCTTATAACAATGAAAGAATAGAGAGATATATTCTCTCCCACCTCCCTCACTCTCATTCAGATATATATTTTTATGAGCTTCGCACTAGCTCTCATCGCCAACCCATTATTTATCAGAATCCATATTGGCGAATACTGTGTTCCCTTTTGGTTGAGAAATGTTAATGGCGGATTTTGCCATATCTGTGATGGTATTTGTTTCTCTGTTATTTTCTCTCTCTTCTTCTCTAACAACTGTTCATGGAGATCAGAGGACGAAGGACGACGCAGAATCATCTTGTGGGAAGATGATGAAGCAGTGTGATTTGTTTCATGGGATTTGGGAGTACGATGAATCGTATCCGCTGTATGAATCATCGGACTGTGATTTCATAGAGAAGCAGTTTGACTGTGCTAAGAATGGTCGTCCTGATAAGTTCTATCCGAAGTATTCTTGGCATCCCTCAGCCTGCAAATTACCAAGGTACGTACATATATATTCCGCTTTTTTTTTTTTTAATATTGGGGAAAATTTTCATGTATAAAACAAAAATTATCCTCTTAAAAATTATAATTATATTATTAACGAATAGTTGGGTCGAAAAAAAGACACTTTTTTAAGCAAGGCTGAGATTTTGAACTTTATAGGAATGAAAAATGTTAAATGAGGAGATCGAGAGCTAACCCAATTGAGCTGTATTAATCTCGTGTAATTTTTTTTTTAAAAGAAGTTAGAAGAGAAGAAAAACTGAAAAAGAGACCTACCCCATTTTATTGATTTGAAAAGCTTATAATATATATATATATATATATATATAATATTATCTTAATAATGATTAATGAATAGGTAGTTGGCGAAGGTGCCTTATAATAGAAATAAAAAAAGTACAAAATATTTTTTAAATATCAACAGCTCAATAAATAATATACTCTTCCAGACCACAATATCAATTTTTGTTAACTAATTTAAGTTTCTCAAAAAAAGTTGACTAAAATCTTAATTTTCTAAAAATTTTCACATTTTTTCAATCATGCCCTCATTAATTATTTAATAAAGCAAGTGTGTAAATAGAAAGGAAAAATATAGCACCTACTAATTAAATAAAGCTTCTAGAAAATGACTTATTGTGGTCCGAAAGGAGTATTATAATAATATATACAAATCTCAATAGATAATATACAGTAACATTTTTCATATTTTTACAATATAAAAGAGAAAAAAAAATATTGATACTACTTTGTTGTGGAATAAATTAAATTTTATTATAGTTATTTTTTTTCCAAATTGCAATGATTCAAATCCATTAAAAACTTAATTAAAGGCCAAAATCGAGAAGTTTCTCATGGAAATTTGTACATATATAATTTGATTAATATTTAGCACATCATAGTGTATGGGCGTGTTTGGATTGCGCATTCAATTACACCACCGAAAGTTTGTCAACAAATAATTGAAGTTTTGAATTAATAATGTTGTGTTTGGATGAGCAGGTTCAGTGGTGAAGATTTCTTAAAGAGAATGAGAGGGAAGAGTGTAATGTTTGTGGGAGACTCTCTGAGTTTGAATCAATGGCAATCTCTCACTTGCATGCTTCATAAATCTGTTCCTCACTCCCAATACACCAATCTCAGGACTGGACTTCTCTCCACCTTCACTTTTCTGGTAATTAGATCCCAAATTCTATTATTTCATATACATATACATACATACATACATATATATATATATATATATATAGATAGATATATTCATCAAGTGATGTGCAAGACAGATAGAATTTCTTGGTTAAGTTGAAGTGTCTTCATGATTCATCAGTTATAACTAATAATAGTACTTCCTAGCTGCTTGTCTATTTATACTGACTAATGGTTAATTATTATATGAAGGAGAAAGGTCTAATCATATATATGTCACATAAGAATATGACAAATAATAACAAGAAAGGTTAAGCTAATTTTCATAAGAACATTATTGTTATGGACATTATGTCCTTATCATAAAAAATGTTATCACAATTAACTAATTAAGATGACAAAGCAGAGTTATAAAAGGAAAAGCATCACTAAATGAAACCTGATATATGTGAATCGCATAATACCGTTGGACTCTATTATTACTTTCAAAAGATATTATCTTGCTAGATTCCATTTGATTTAACTTTCTAAAATGTTTTTTTAGCCTCACTCTATATCATTTCATAAGGTTAAATATCATCTAGTCATGTTAAAATCACTTTAATTGATTCCTTAAAAAAATTCTCTTTTGTAGAAGTCACACCATTGATTCAATGTATATAATCATTTCAAATCTTTCCTTTTCCTTTGGGGTTAATTTATTAGCATAACTACTAGTCATTTCCAATTAGAGCTGATGATTATATTGTGCCAAATCATTATTAATGTTGCCGATTCCATTTAGTGGGATAAGACTTATTGTATATTCTCTAATCAACTATGCTCATCATTAAGAATGGACTTGATCAAAGAACCATATCTGTTTTATGAGTTTTCTAATTGTATTTTTATGTGCAACTCCGGAGAGATTAGTTCTCTAATATAATGACCAGATCCTACCTTATTTGGTGACCAGTAAGATCAAATTGTAATTGATATATGTATTTTAGTCTTCAAGAGATACATTTCTAGTACTGCTTATAAAAATGTTAAATTTAATCATAACACAACGAGCACAGATCTAACAGCAAGAAAATAGGAATTACTTAAACATACGCATTGATTGGGACTTGGATCAATTATTATTATTTTTTCCACCACGGAGCTTATAGGTGTGATTAATAAATTGATTAATGCAGGAGTATGATGTGAAGGTGATGATGAGTCGCAATGTGTTTCTGGTGGATCTGGTTGATGAAAGTGATGGTCGAGTTCTTAAACTCGACTCTATTCAATCCGCTCAGTTCTGGCAACAGTTTGATGTATTGATCTTCGATTCTTGGCACTGGTGGCTTCATTCTGGACGAAGACAACCGTAAGTGTACACACACAAACACACACACACGCTTTTTCATAAGATTTTTAGAGCCTATTTGATTGTGATCTCATTTTTTTATTTGCAAAAGTTATTTTGTAATAAAGTTTTCATAATAAAATAAAAAATATATTTGATTACGTTAATTTAAAAATAATTTTAGAGTCAAAAAAATTGATCAATAATAATGGCGATTAGTAGTTAATGATGGTGGTACATGGTATTTTATGATAATGATTAACCATATCTTATGATAGTTTTTAGTAGTTAAATGTAAAGTGTTTTGAAAAAAATAGAATAAAATTTCAAAACATATCTCCAAAATGTTTCTATTTTAAAAAAATGAGAATAATTTTAGTAAACAATTAAATTAAAAACAATTATTCAGACAAATGTTATATTTATCATCTAAGGAAGACTGACAATTGAGGACTATGGAAGAATATTAATGTAAAATAAGAATCATCAAGTTAATTATAAATCTGGAAGTTTCAGTTATAAACGGGTCCTTATTTTATATTAATATTTTTTTAGGGTCTTTCATTGTCATTATCCCTTAATTTAATTGTCATTTGTGTGTTTTAATTGTAGATGGGATTTCATTCAAGAGGGGAATCAAACAGTGAGAGACATGGATCGCTTAGTGGCATACGAGAAAGCATTGAGGACATGGGCCCGATGGGTTGACAACAATGTTGACCCTTCAAAAACCAAGGTTTTCTTTCAAGCTGTTTCCCCAGATCACATGAAGTAAGTAACTCCAGTTATTTTTTTAATTTTATATATATATATATATATATATAAACACATAAAAAAGAAATTAGGTGATTTAGGTTTTGATGGCTTAGAAGGATTAGAGCATGCATCTAGGTAGAGGCGATAATTTGAATAAGTCTAAAAAAAATTTTAGGATCGACATCAAGAGTTTAAAAGATTTTTTTTATTTTGAACTTATTTGGACTGTCTAAATAAACTTAAAAAAATTCAGATCAAACCAAAACCAAAATGAGTTTATCCTAAATAGCCAAAATTTTTAGTATTATTAATAAAATAAAATTAAAATAATATAAAATTGAAAATCTTAATTTTTTAATATAAAAATTGAAATATGCTAAAAAATAATAAATAAAAAAATATTTAATAATTTGGGTATCTGATCCAATCCAAACAAGCTCATGTGAAAGCCCAAGATATTATCTTCAGGCTTGACTAATGAGCTTTTAAAGATGTTAGGGTATTTTAAGCCTAGTTCACTGAAGTTGCCAACTCTACATTCAAGTAATTTACTACATTATAAACTGGCATATATAAATATAAATTTATACACTTAGCTTGCACATATATTATATTCCAAAGACGGCTGTTTGTCAAATAATAATAATAATAATAAAATGAACCTCATATAACAGAGACTATTAGTTTGTTGAACTGATGAGTTTTACATTTAGATGGTATTTAATTAATATTTAATTTCAGTGGAAAGGACTGGGGAGAAGAAGAATCAAATACATGTCAAGGACAGGAGAGGCCAGTGGAAGGAGAAAGGTATGGAGGAGGATCACACCCGGCAGAGTTGGTGGTAGAGAAGGTTTTGGGAGAAATGTCAAACCCTAATTTAGTTCATCTCCTCAACATCACCACTCTCTCTCAGCTCCGAAAGGACGGCCACCCTTCTGTCTACGGCTATGGCGGCCGCCGGGGAATCGACTGCACCCACTGGTGCCTTCCTGGTGTTCCGGACACTTGGAACCAGCTCTTGTATGCTGCTTTGATCAATCAAAGTTAATTAGCAAAAAGATAAATTTAATGCATAAGAATTGATTGAATATTGATTTGTTATAACGTGGAGTTTCCAATTGATTGAATATAGATTCAATGCATATGAGATTAGGATGGCCTAAATCTTATTATTCGATCTCTCTCTCTCTCTCTCTCTCTCTCTCTATCTCTGTTGTATTTTATAATTTAAACAATTTTTATAAGTCGATAGTTAATTATAAGATTGATATTATTTGACATTATTTTCAATTTAAGTTAACAAGAAATAAAATCGAATTTAAAATATTAAGATATAAATTATTTCACTTAAATTTGGATATATAGTGATAGACAAATATAGCTCTAGAATTTTTTAGCCCATTCTAGCTTAATTGATTGAAGAACCTGAACTCCAAATTTATGTTTCTGTTATTCCCTTATCTTCCAAAAAAAAAAAGGATTTTGGATCAAATTCATGTTTGGGCACTAATAAGTAGTACTCATTAAAAAAAAAAGTATAAGTAGAAGTGTCTCTCAATTTATTTTTGAGATGCACTCTTCTCTTAATTACTGATTGAAATTAGCTTTTATCCATAGAAGAGAACTAAAAATGCTTTTGAATGATCATTCTTTTGCCGGGGGGGAAATTGTTTATGAGACTATTGAAAGATTTGTCTTTTTCTTTGTCGTTTTTCTTGCAAGGCACAGACTTTCTTAATTAATAAGTGATTGCCTTATTTTGAACGAAGATATTACTCTTTTTTTTTTAAAAAAAAAAACATAACCTCCGCTCTCAATCCCTCCATTTTTAAATGTAAGCAAATTTTAATTATCCCACATGCATGTTTTGTGAAAATTTGGTGATTCTAATAATTATATCCGAAATTTAAAATTGGGACTAAAATATCTGCGTTGTTAATAAAACATGCAAGTTTGCCTTGTGAACATCAAGTTTTATTTCACAAAAGAGACAACTTGAGAATAAATGTAATGAATATTTCTTGAATTTTGCAATTTTGTTCTCGTATAATAAAAAAAAAATAAAACATATAACAGTTTCTCTAATAATAGGAAAACGGAGGAAGTACTATATTTCAAAGCATGTTTGGTAAAGTTCATGAAATTGTGTTGGGTTCATTGATCTTACATGAAAAATTAAAATAGGTAATATTTCTTATATTTTTATTATTCGCATCACGGGACAATCATAAGTATTCCTTTCATTATCTTTACTTTATTTAAAAATATAAAATATGTTTTTTTTTTATTATAGATTTCAATTTTTCATATTTCAAATATGGATGGGATTTGAGAGACTTGTGAGTAGAGAACTTGGAGACGCTATTGTCAGTTCTCACACTTGAAAGCTACGCAACAATATGAATATATGCATTAGATCTTATCCGGATCATCTTAATATGTGTCGGATTTTGTTTTTATTTTTTAGTATACTAAGAATAAATATGTTTTTTTTAGATTGTGAAAAGTATAGAAAATTAGAAATAAAAATGTAGGTCTTATTATTTTTTTTGGGATCCTTATTGTCATAAATTAGACCCTTCTCTTTCTATTTCCCTTTATATTTTTTTTGGCCTAATATTTCCCTTTATATTTGTTCAAGAGTTTCGAATCCCTTCAATAACTTTGGTCCAAAACGGGAAAAAATATGTTTTCAAGTTATATATATATATATATATATATAAATTATACCCTTTATTATATTCTACCCAAAAGTAATTAATCCAAAAGTAGTCAATGATAGTATTTTGAATAAGTTAAATATTATATTTATTCTACTTAAGAGGTACGATTGGAAAGATGTGAATTTTTTTTAAAATCAATATTTTAACTAGCCTTTTTTCGAAATATAAATTAGTTAATAATCTATTTTGGTGGTAAAGCTCTTCTAACAACTATTTAGCACAGCTACGTACAAAAGACTTGAATTTAAAACTATTGGTTAAATTAGTACAACCCATTTAAAAAATGAGTGTCTGCATTTGACTAATTCCTTTAATTAATACATGAGATTTGGTTAGAAGAATCCTATTTTGGAAGAGAGGGAGTATATATAAATAATAGATTTAGATTTTATTAGTGGTTTAAATACTTTTACTTACATGGTATTACAATAACAATCATTTGATTTAATTGAATGACCATTATATATTTTATCATATAATACTAAAAAAGAATCAAATATCAAATTTTTGAAGGGCATAAGAAGTGTTCTGAGTCTGATTGTGAGAATTGCTTTAAATTTTTATAGGAAAATGCATCTTTATAATTTTTAAGTATTAATAAAATTTAATGGTTGTATCTGATATACTAAAACATATTCACTCATTCATAGCATTAAACTCATTTATTATAGCATTAAATTCTACACACACAAAAATAAAGTGTCAACACCCATTGGATCTCCTAACTGCTCGAGTAAACTAAGAAGAAAGATAAAAGAAATGCTATATTGGAATTTGGATCCACATCTCTCTCTCTCTCTCTCTCTCTCTCTCTCGTGTATCTATATATATGGAGTATATATATTGTGAGGTTCACTAGCTTTATCCACCGACCCATTACTATACCAGATTATCAGTTACCAATTTCTCCATATTTCTCTGTATCGATCTTTTCTCTCATTGTGATAGATATGGGCCATTTCGCCATATCTATGAACATAGTTTCTCTGTTATTCTCTCTCTTGATTATTTCTCAAGCAGTTCATGGCGAGAAGAAGAAGTGTGATTTGTTTCATGGGACTTGGGTGTACGATGAATCGTATCCTCTGTACCAATCATCGGACTGTGATTTCATAGAGAAACAGTTTGATTGTTCTAAGAATGGTCGTCCTGATAAGTTCTATTTCAAGTATAACTGGCACCCCAATTGCAGCATGCCAAGGTACACCCATGTTATTTATTTATTATTTTAATTTATTATTTCTTCGACTTTGTCAAATGAAATTTACGTTATGAATATTTTAAATGATGCTGGTGCTTAATATAAAGTATTGTTATTGTTTTTCAGATCTGTGTAAATTTTCTGTTTTCAGATCAGAATTTTCCTGTTTTTTTCTTTTCCTTTTATGGTTCTTTTATTTGTCAGAATTATGCGCTTGAGAGCTGAGATTGATTTAAACAAATTATGCTAAAATTTTAATATTGACATTGACAATATATAAAAAGGAAAAAAAAATAACGAACTTGGGGTTCAAACATGGTGTAAAACAAAATTTATTATTTAAATGCGTTTTATGAATATTTTATTTGTTTTAAAAAAAATTTAATCATTGAAATCTGTTAAAACGTCTTGTTAAAAACTGCCCATAACGTAAGAAGGAGGATGAGGAGGAACATGAGTGGTGTCTCTGAATCCAATTTTTCTATTCTTTTCAATTAATAAAAAAAGGCTTTCAAAAAAAATTCAATTATGGCTTGTTACTTTTAAAATATCCTGTCAAGATTTTTTTTTAAAATTTTCGCCATTATTAAAGGATAAGCAGAGGATGTACGCTCGTCTTGATCTAATTCATTTATATTATATTAAAATACTGTTATATTTTAAAAATAAATTGAAAATTTCAAAAATGAAAATTTCAGTTAAAATTGATGTTAGACATTTTTAAGAGCTGTTTGAAATTGTTTTTATTTTATTGTTTCGAGAACTAGTATTTTGTAAAACATGTTTTAAAAATTAAAAAAATATGTTTTTTTCATTTTTTTTCTCCAAAACAATAATTTCAGAACACCTGAAAGTTATTTTTATTTTTCTGTTTTCCAAAACAATATTTTATTTTTTTATTTTTTAAAATACTTTTTAAAAACACATTATTAAATAAATTTTTTTATTCTTTTGTTTTGCAGAACAGAAAACTGTTTTTAGAACAGGTTACCAAACAAGCTCTAATTTCTCTTTATTTTATCATAGCACTTTATTGGGGTCCACTTGTTAATTAAGTCAGTTAATTAAATCTTGCAAGAAATAAATTTGTAACACAAAAAGAGGCTTTACTTGTCGTTGAAGACACCCAAAGGGGCTAGGCAAACCACTCAATCATATAAGAATAATTAATGGAAAAAAGAAGCAATCTGTATTGGTTTAATTTATCCCTTTATTTATTCACATATAATTTTTTATTGGAAATACGTGAAACAAATTAGGATATTACATCTACCACTGGTTTGAAACTTTTATATTACTACACACAAGAACATGTAGTCTGTAGATAAGATGTTATTAGCTTAACTTTTGTTCCTTTTGCACAATTTAATTAAATAACGGATTAATTTTCTGTAATATCCCTCCAGGTTGTAAAGTACCAAATTAAGCACTACATTAGTATCTATATTTGTGTGTTATATATGAGATGTTAAGAGGTTGCTTTCATGCGTTTTGTCCTGAAATAGAGAGCACATGGCAAATTATGGAAATGGGTTCTTTGTTGTAGATCAATAATGTATAATGCCAAACCCTGTCGCTGTGCTCCACAAGGACATATATGATAAATTATATATTAAATTTGGACGATTCATTTTTTTTATTAATTTAATTTTTTTATCTTCATAATTCACACTTAAAAAGTATTATTTTTCTTCTTTTGAAATAAAAAATGATTGAAAGAAAAATATGTATGAAATTCATTATATATGTTTTTTTTTGTCAAATTATGTATTCTTCCAATCCTTTTTATAAGGTAGAGAGAGATTTTTTTTAATCTTATTTGTAAGACATGTCTGTCAGTGACTTTTTATAAAAAATTTCTCCTTTACTTCCATTAAATGTTATATTCGTGAGAGAAAATGTATATTATTAAATTATTTATATTTAATAGGAATCAAGTTTGTTTTACCAACAATAGGGATCAAAGTTCAAAACTTCTTAAATTTTTTTAAATTTTTTATTTTAATAAAACACGTTGAAAGTAACTTTTAAATAGGATCAAAAGAAATATATTTTTTAATTTGCTGAGACCAAAAAAATAAAACAACACAAGAAAAGTAAAATTTTAAAAATATTATATTTATTAGATAGGATTAAAAATATTATATTTAAATTAAACTTATGAATGAAGGGTCACTAGTACAAAAAAACTTGTTTATGTTGATTTGGTCAAAAGCAATTAAAATAAGAAGGAAATGATAGACACGTAAATACTTAAGTTGAACATTAATGAGTTGAACTATATATCTCTACGTTGGCAAATAATCGAACTGTTGAATGTTGTGTATAAGCAGGTTCAATGGTGAAGAGTTTTTACAGAGAATGAGAGGGAAGAGTATAATGTTTGTGGGAGACTCTCTGAGTTTGAACCAATGGCAATCTCTCACTTGCATGCTTCATAAATCTGTTCCTCACTCACACTACACCAATCTCAGGACTGGACTTCTCTCCACCTTCACTTTTCTGGTAATTTGATCTCCATCTCGTTTCTAATTACCTCAATCAAATGCAAATTACGGTTTGCAAATACTTCCTCCAATCCCTATTATAAAATGCCTTCAACTATTTCACCAGAATCAAAAAATAATAGTTAACTCATTAAACATGTCTTAAAATGAAAAAATTCAACTTTTATTTATCCTTATTAAAAATAGGATGAAAGAGATACACAATATATAATAAGCCAAATATGTCCTATGATAGGGACAAGAGGTAGTACTTATTAAGTGTCGTGTACGATGACATAAGTTTATACCTCATATATCATTAATGCAAGCACATATATGCAGTTACATGTACAATATAAAATTTCATAGAAACTCATACCATTTGTAAAGCATGTAGTAGTGTGATTATACTTGGGCTTAATGTAAAGCATGGCTCACAGTATCTAATTGATTAATATAGGAGAAGAATTTAATCATATGTGTGGGAGAAAAAAATGAGACTAATAATATTGAGCAATAACGGAGTTGATTGTTGATGCTAATTATAAATATAGATATTATTAGTGAATTATTGGTCATGAGTCCATGTCATAAAAGCAATTACGAGTTAGTTAGCCAGGCACAAAAGCAGAATAGAACCAAATTACCTTTCTTGCCCTTTAAATCACACACCGACTCGACCAGAAGGGACGAATAAGTGGTTAAAAAGTCAGCTTAATTGATAAGCATAATGACTAATCATTGCTTATTACATATTGTTAGTATGTCAATTCATTGCACAAACTTGGCTTGAATGTTGACGACCATGACCATCATCCTAGCTCGTTTAACAAACTATGTTAGATAATTCAATTCTTCTAATTATAATTGCATAAAATTCATTGGTTAATTACACACGCGCACACATTGATACATCTATTTTGCATCCATTATCATCAGATCAAATTCAAATATTATCAAATTCAATTGAAGGTAATTTTTTATCTACAAATTAAACTTTAATTTGTGATGGTGATGGCTCATCAGAATTCTCTTTAGTGACTACACAGTCTGGTGGTGGTTAGGCTTGTAAGAGAAGTAATTAATAAGTTATACAATTCCCTCAATGATCAGTGTTGATTGGGACCTGATTTCAAGTTCAATTCTGATGATTTATAAATTTTACGGTGTGATTAATTATTAAATTAATGCAGGAGTATAATGTGAAGGTGGTGATGAGTCGCAATGTATTTCTGGTGGATTTGGTTGAGGAAAATATTGGTCGAGTATTGAAATTGGATTCCATTGAATCTGGCAATAGAGATTGGAAAGGGATTGATGTTTTGATTTTCGACTCTTGGCACTGGTGGCTTCATACTGGAAGAAAGCAGCCGTAAGTGTATACCAAACCCCTCATGAAGATTATCTCTTTCTACTGTCATTGATTTGGTGAGCGGAAACACCTTGATAATACTCTTTAATTAAGCTTATGGGTTCAAACTTTAATTTGTAAATAGAAAAAAAAAACATTAAGGCCCAACCATGCATGTTCAAATATAACTTGATGAGAAAACATAATTATTGATTTTTATAATTTCATCAAGTTTTGTTTTTAGTCACATTCTTGTAGTCTTTTTTTCCCATTGTTTCCAATTTCTAGAGTTTTAATAAGATTTTGTGACGTTTGTGTTATCTAATAATGTTAAATTATAGGGACTATATATAAGGATTAAAAATACTGAAAAAATTATAGAAACTAAAATCAAAACTTGATAAAATTATAAGGATCAATAATTGTGTTTTTTTTAATTTAATATATATATATATAGCATTAGGTGGCAGAGTTATGGGGTAGGTATGTGAATTTTATAATTTTGCATTCCCTATTTTTGATACTTTGCACTCCTAGATTAAATTTAAAAACATTTGTACTCAAAACCAATAAAATAAAATTAAAATTTTATCATATTGTTATAACAATAAGGATAAGATATGAAGATCAATTTATTGTTTAATATAATCTTTCCAATATAATTATTTTATAATTATTAAATTACTGTGTCTAAAATTAAATTATCTTGCATGCCCTTGGTTTAGGGTCTTGAATCCCCCACTATAGATATCAGGTCACATAACAAAGAAATGTTTGAACCCTATAATACTATTCATATCACATTTCATTGTCACTTAATCAAACTATCGGGTGGCTAGAGATGTTTGGCTGTGTAATTATAAATTACAAAACTTTCATGACCGTAAATATATATGTAGATGGGATTTCATTCAAGAAGGGAATAAAACGTACAGAGACATGGATCGCTTGGTGGCATATGAGAAGGCACTCAAAACATGGGCCCACTGGGTTGAGACCAACGTTGATCCTTCAAAAACTAAGGTTTTCTTTCAAGGAGTTTCTCCGGATCACATGAAGTAAGTCCTATGATCTCTCTTTTTATTTCTGAATGCAATTAATTAGTCTTTTTATATATCTCTCAATATATTTATTATTTAAGAAAACTTGGAGGCAGTTTATTACATTATTGAACTTTAGTGGAAAGGAATGGGGAGAAGAAAGAGCAAGGTCATGTGTGAATCAAGAGAGGCCAGTGGAAGGGGACAAGTACAGAGGAGGATCACACCCAGCAGAGTTAGTGGTAGAGAAAATTCTGAGAGGAATGTCAAACCCTAATTTGGTTTATTTGCTCAACATCACCGCCCTTTCTCAGCTCCGGAAAGATGGCCACCCTTCCGTGTACGGCCATGGCGGCCACCGTGATATGGACTGTACCCACTGGTGCCTTCCCGGTGTTCCTGATACTTGGAACCAACTCTTGTATGCTGCTCTTGTCTACCAAGATTATCATTATTAATTCAGTCATTGCTATATATAGCAAAAATAAAATTTCTACATATTTTTCTGAAGGTCTATTTTTTTTTTGCTGTACATTTTAAACTGAATTCATAGCGTTCGTCATTAATAATAATTTAGTTTTGATGATTAAGTGCGTGTTTGGTGTCAAAAATTCATATGACAAAAATCAATTTAATAGAATTCAATTATTATAATAAAATTTGTGTTTGGATACATTTTTTTAAATATCAATTTGGTAAACTAAAAGTTATTTAAATTATATAGAGTAAAATGTGCTTTTAAATATACAATTGCCAAAAGTAACATTGATTATGATGATTTGTTAATTTTTATACAAATATAATATATTAGAAATGTTTAAAAATATAATAAAAATTCTAAATAACATCAGATTTATTATTTTAAATAATAAGAACTAAAAAATATAAATTTTGATATATTGAAAAACAATATAGTATAATAAATAGTTCAACATTGAAAATTATATAATAAATATTTCAGATATTATGTATATAAAAATAAAATTCATAATTAATCACTCTAATATGTCATTATTTTAATTGTTAAAATATCTGAACGCATATGAATGAATTCAATATTCTCAATTTCTCATGTTATTTAATTAAGAAATATACATGAAGGACTCTGACAATTCAGAAAGAATCGGCAAGCTAAACATGACTGACAAAAAAGGGATTTTTTCATCCTCTGTGGTGTGTGATTGTGAGAGGGTAACATAGGAAAATCATAGAGAATGGTTAAATCTCATCTGCGAAGCTGGATTGAAAAGTTGGGGAGAGTTAAGTTAGGCTGAATGTAGTAGATTGAGTAACATTCTCAAAGCATTTCTAAAATCTATTTACATTCCATAATTTTTTCTGAAACAATTTTTAACTTTTAAAAAGTGTCAAAAGTACTTACCAAAAGTTAAAAGTTAGTTAATCAAACATGTCCTAAGTTTTTCGATTATTTTCCCCTTAAATAATCACTTTCCTTTTGATTTAATGTTTGTAAAATAACGTCTTTAATTATTTTCTGCCATCAAAAGAATATCCTTGAATGAGAGTCATGAATGAATTAATGCTTCTTAAAGGATAGTTTCGATCTCGGAACAAAATCAATTTTGAGACTTGAGATTACATTGTGATAATTATCTTTTGAAAATAGGAGGGCTAAAAATAAAACTTGACATATTTATAAAAAAAATATTTGTAAATTTTTCAAATTATAACGGACACACATATAGATTCCATTGATATAAATCGAAATTTAAATTTTCTAAAACTGAAATCTATAAATTTCTTTTAAATCTATCTTTGAAAGGAATTTTTTTCATATTTTATAAAAATATAATAAAAAGAAAAAATATTAAAAAAGAAAAACTTCACACAAATTCATGAATATCAACCTTATAGGGGATTTAAATGTTTAATGCTTTAATTTCTTCTTTATTGAAATGTAAATAGCAGTTGTGTATCAAAAAGAAAAAGAAAAAAGAAATTCAAATTGCAGTACGTATAACGATTCTTTCGCCGCAGCAGAACTCTGAATAATGATTCATAATTTTCTTTTATTTATTGCAAGAGGGAGAAGAACATCTCATCTCATATCACACACACACACACACACACATGCATGATAATACCATAGATCCAAACCATGCATGTTTAAAACCCAAAACAAGTTTAACAAAACCCGGAAAAAAAACAAACAAACAAACAAACTAGGATTACTTTTTTGCTTTTAATTTCCTTTCACAGACATCCAATATAATCATGCATTATACGGAACAAGCTTTTTTGGGTGATCAACCAGAGAAGGTGGGGAATTATGAAGAGACTCATCACAATATCCTTCAAGTATATCACCTTCTTCATTGGTAAACCCTAGAGAGCTCATAATGTTTGGCCAGCAATCTTGCCCTATCACCTTCTTAATAGCTTGGCAGCAACCATGCCCTAAGTAAGTCTCACCACTGAGGAAGAACGTTATCACCTCCCCACTACAAGCTTGGAGCTCAAACAGCGAGTCCCAACAAGTCACCGATTCAGCCTCCAGCTTCAGCCGTGCCGCGAGACTAGTCCTGGAGGAAACTGGCAGATTCGAGAGCGATCGGCTGGCCTTAGCCGAAAAAGGCGACGCCATTAAGGTAAGAGCAATGAGGATGAAGAGGCTGCAGGTGATGGAAGCCATTGAAGAAATTGAAGAAATCAGAAATCAAGAATCAGAAATGTATGAGAGGGAAGCTGTTTTAGTGTGGATGGTTTTGTGAAACTGGGTTTAGGATTTATATATATATATAGAGTGGGAAAATAGTATCATTATTAATTTACAGTTATTTGAAATGGAAGAAGAGGAGGCTCGAAGTTATGGTGCTAAGTAGTGGGTTTCTTGGCCAATTAGTTCTTTTAAATAGGGATTTGATGAACTAATTAATTTGGAATGTTAAGAGCCAGTATATATTTAGTTTGCAGTGAAATTAATCTGATATAGTTACTACTTCTGTTAATATATATATATATATATATAAATAATTTTTAAAATAAGAAACTGTAGTGAGAGAACAACCTACAAAAAGGTGAGGATTTTACATCATGTGTATTTAAGTTGATATTATAAAAATATATTAAATAAATAATCTAATTTAAAATATATTAATTAACTCAATTCATCGCAATATAGCTTAACCGTAATCGATCATAAACACTCAGAGACTTATTAATACAATTAATTTGAGATATTATAACTGTAATTAACACCTTCCTAATTAATACGCGACATTTATTTTATATATGTCACTTAACACTCTTGCTTATGATTAATTTGTTTCAAATGGTAACGTACGTGTTCCAGCTGTTCTGAAATAAGAAGAATGCCTATCACGCAATATTTTCGCATTTATTTATTTTTTTATGGTTGTGCTCGTTTTATGTTTAACAGTATTTTTCTATTATTAAAAAAATTAGATCTCTTGAGTACTTAGGGAAAAAAAAACTCGAGTCTTGATATGATGATTCCTATTGATGATGATGATGTAGTAACTAGTTTGATATCATTGTGATTTTTCATATAAATCATTTAGACTATCAAAGGTCTCTATATTCATGGAAATGGCAATAATAACTTAGCAATATATGAAAAATAATAATTACTAATTTAGATATTTAAAAATTACAAATATTTAATGAATTTTACTTTTGGAAATACTAATATTTAAAATTAATTAATTAATGTTATAAAAAAGTAATTATTAATTAATTAAGGTAAAAGCAAGCAATCTCCAACTACAACATGTTATTAATGTTTAATCCTTTTTTTTCATTTTGATTATTACTTAAAAGATTGCATTCAACCACTGAATTATTGAATCACAGAAATAGTATGTGTATTTATAATTTTTTCCCATTGTTGTTTGTTGTTGTTAGTGTAATAAAAGATTGTGAAAAAACGTGAATATAGAGATACTTGCTCTATTAAAAAATATAAAATATTTTTTGAGATGTTAGATGTTAAAAAATATAAGGTATTTTTAGTCTTTTGAAGTGTAATTATTACTTTTTTTAAAAAAATGTCCTTATTGATAATGACTTTATATTTATTATAGGGTGTTTAATAAGGGTAAATATAAAAAGATAAGATTAGTTGGAAAGTAGATAACTACTTTATTGGGATGAGATTCGATTAAAAATATCTAACAGTGGGAAAGTAGATAACTACATTTTTAAACGGAGGGAGTAATATTTAACAGTGGTTGCTATGGTTTTAAATATCAATTACATTAATAATAATAATAATAATTCTTTTGAAAAAACACATTAAATTCAGATAAACATATAGAAATAGTATTGAAAATATAAACTTATTGTTGCACACGGCATCCTCTAGTTCCTTTTTGGAAGAAATTCATACAAAGTTTGTTTGAACGTTTAGTTCTGTAGAAAATCAAAAGAAAGAAAATAATATCATTCCATGTTTAATAAATATAAGTCTCCAATATCATTACACAACATATTTTTTTATAATGTTTTAAGCTCCTTTATTATGACTATTCATTACACACAGGCAAATTAAAATATTGTAATCAGGTTTTTTCATTAATTTAATTTTAGAAATAATAATTTTTAATTTTTAAGGAAAGCATGAAGTCTCTTTTGCGGGTGAAAGCATGACTACAGCCTACAGGGGCGTAATAGTCCAACTAAAATAATAATAATAATAATAAGATTAGTAAAAAGCTAAGACTGAAAAAACAACAGAAGAAAAATTGAAAACGTGTCTATTTAACTTATTTTTCACGCGCTGACGCGTTCAACGAACTTTTAAAGGCCGTTAATTCATTGGCTAGGTCGAGTGGCCACGTCATGCATGAGGTCCGACTTATCATTTCAAGCGTTGACCCTCCAACGTCACCATTCAAAATATGAAACTCCTTTGTTGTCAATTTCTAGATGGTGACAATAAAAAACTAACAACCAACTAAAATTTTTCAGCTTTCCAATATACTCCCTCCACTTCTATTTATATATAAAAAATTATATCACAATTTAAAAAGACTAATTAATCATAATAATTATATTTAAAAATAAAAAATTAAATTAAAATGTCTTATATTAATCAACATAAGCTTACATTAATTATTTTTCATTAATGTAATTTATGAGGGGCGATTTAGGAAATATATAATAAATGTTTATTAAAATATGTAATTTTGCTTGTAAAAAAACAAGTAAAAAATAATAATTTTTCTTATAAATAGAAACAAAGTAGTATCTCCATAATCGATAATTATGAGATTAATCTTTTGAAGAATTTGATCACTATATAAGGAGTTATCATTTTTAAGGCTATGATTTTCATACATACATTTAAGAATCAAATCTTGGAATGATGTTCAAGGAGCCCATACAACCAACTAAAATCAATTTGAGTGATAGAGGCGTGTCACTTCAATAGCGATTGGGGGTTTGAATCTTAGTACTTGTGTATACAACAACTTAGTAGAGAGAAGTCTACTATAAAACCTTCAATTTTTAAACACATAATTAGCATATACTTAATCTTAAAGTAGAGCTACCATGATATTTTTAACTAATTTAATAATAAAAAATGTTATGACATAAAATAATTAACTTTGACTGTTTAAAAACTCATAAGGTTAAGTAAGGAAACTTTTTACAGATGAAATCCTATAAATCATTTAATTTCAAAATCAAGTTTAGAATGTCAATTAAACATTATAAATTAAAGTAAAAAATATTTGGAAAGCATGGAAAATATTAGAGCTGATAATTTGGGCCAAGCCCGACAAGCTAGCCCGAACCCGCCCGAAAAATTTAGGGCCAAGTCCAAAAAAATATTAATTTTTTATTGTTTAAGCATATTCGGGCTGTTTGAATAGACTTGAGAAAATTCAGGTCGGGTTTAGCCTGAATACCCAAATAAAAAAATAAAATTTTTTAAAAATATATAAAATCTAATAAATATTAATTAATTTCTTAACTTTTATGTCATTTTATAATAAAATACCTTATATTTGAGTGTATTACTATAATTAGTTTTTAAAAAATTAAAAATATTTATATTTTTATTATTTTTAATCAATAAAATATATCAAAATAATATTTAAAATATATTTTAATGTTGATTTTTATATTTTAAGACCCATTTTTTAAAAAAATAATTGAGTCCTATACATCATTTGCTTATCCAAAAAATATATTTTATCTTTTTTATAAAATAAGATAATTAATTTTAAAGTAAAAATAAAATTAAAAATAATTTTAAAAATAAAATTTGGGCATGTGCAAATTTTTAACTCTGCTACTAGATAAATAATATTAAATAGAACAATATTTTTGAATAATTATTTAATTTTTATCCATGCCAAACTTGATTAAAAATTAAGAATAAATTAGAGTAAATATCCCTTGTATATAGGTGTTAAATAATATAAAATTTAAAGAAAAAAAATTCAAAAAAATAGTATTTTACTTATAATTAAATCTTTTTATTTTATATAATATAATGATGGCTATTTTTTTGTATTATTAAAAAGAAAAAGTACGATTTATCCAAAAGTTATTAAAAATTTTGAACTAATTGGGATAATAAGTTAGTGATCTAATTGTGATTGAATTGAGATCAACTTGATTATAATTAAAATAATTTAATTTAATTATAATATATAAAATATTTATATATGATCATGATAGGAGCAATATTTAAGCAACTAAGACATTAATTTATAAGTAAAGGAAACATTCATGAATAAATTACACATAATGCAATAAGATAGTAACAAAGCTACTTAAGTACAAAGTTGATAAATTATTATTTTTTATTTTAAATTTAAAATAATATTTTATGCTTAACAAAAATATTTAAAAATTAAAATTAGTTAAAAAATAAAAAAATATTTTTAAAAAGCTTCGAATATTCAATGTAACATCCTAAAAAATTTAACTTAATGATAATTAGGTAATTAAGGATAAATTAGACAATTGAGAATTAACTTAGACTAAAAATAATAATAATAATGTATGAATGGCTAATGGTTATATTGGATTCTAGTTAGAGCTTAGAATTGGACCCTAGGTGGTATTGGGCCATATTTGGGCTTAATTAAATGGACAATGTTCAGAATATGAAATTTTGATCTTTGGCCACAACCGAAGATTTATTGGCCATAGCTAAGAGTTGACTTTTAAGCTGTCAGACTCACTTTTTGGATCAAAAAATTAGAGTTTTGGGTAGGAGTTCAAAGGTGAACGAAAAGGGCTCTACTAGGATTTGTTGTGGATATCTAATTGAGTCTATTTAAAACTTTTAATCACTTGGGTAAGTATTTATAACCTCTCATCTTCCTCTCTTGTGCCTTTTCACCATGGTTTTTGGGTAGTTCTTTAAGAATCCAAAAATAAGTTGTGAGTTTGCTTAAAATTCTGATTTCAATTGGATTAATGAGAGTTTATTTAAGTATTTAACCTTTGAGTTATGATGCTATTGATGTTTTAGGATCAAGGTGGGGTTTGGAGTAAACCTTAGAGCTAATTTGTTGAGTTAGGAAGATTATGAGTTATTAGTGGTGTTGCTTAGAATAATGAGAGTCTAAGTAAACTAATGAAACCTAAAAATAAATTTGGTTGTAGGTAGATGACTACACTAGGATTTTTAGATTTAGACTTTGATTGGAG